ACTAGTTACAATATCCCAACTACCAATGTCATTAACTGTTAACACTAGTTACAATATCCCAACTACCAATGTCATTAACTGTTAACGCTAGTTACAATATCCCAACTACCAATGTCATTAACTGTTAATACTAGTTACAAGATCCCAACTACCAATGTCATTAACTGTTAACGCTAGTCACAATATCCCAACTACCAATGTCATTAACTGTTAATGCTAGTTACAAGATGATATCCATCAACAGATTATTTCTGGTAACTGAATAATACTTGTTGTTGTTGTAACACACTATTGTGACTACCAACAGTTCATTATTAGACCATAGCTGGTAACCAGATGATATCGTTGCCATGGTAACATACTATTGCAACTACCAACAGTCCATTATTAGACCATAGCTGGTAACTAGATGATAATCGTTGCCATAGTAACACACTATATTGTAACTACCAACAGTCCATTATTAGACCATAGCTGGTAATTAGATGATAATCGTTGCCATGGTCACATACTATTGTAACTACCAACAGTCCATTATTAGACTATAGTTGGCAACTATATAATACTTGTAGTCAGGATTACATATTTCTGATTAAACTTATTACACATTGTCCTGAATGATAAGACAAAAACTTAATGTTACCTTCTTCCACAGGTACCAGCCACCCATCAAAGAACAAATGCCAACACAAATGATGTCCTTGTAGTCAAACTTATAGTTGATGACTTCTAAGTATGAGGAAAATATTTCAATTAACACCAGAAATGATAACAATATATGTGATTTACAAGGAATTTCATCCAATGGGCCTTTAGCTTACAAACCATTCAAACTACATAAAATGTGATTTACAAGGAATTTCATCCAATGGGCCTTTAGCTTACAAACCATTCAAACTACATAAAATGTGATTTACAAGGAATTTTATCCAATGGGCCTTTAGCTTACAAACCATTCAAACTACGTAAAATGTGATTTAACAAATCTAGAATGTCATCAACAAAAAAAATCATCACACATTCTAAAAAAGATGGCTTTTAACAAGTAGTTGGCACCAAACCAAGATGGCATTTAACACTTAGTTGGCACCGAACCAAGATGGCATTTAACACGTAGTTGGCACCGAACCAAGATGGCATTTAACACGTAGTTGGCACCGAACCAAGATGGCATTTAACACGTAGTTGGCACCCAACCGTACTATTATTAACATTATATATATTTATATATTTTGGTATCGTAACAATTAGCATAGTATATCATTCGTTCATAAACAGAACTTTATTACAAATGAAAAAAGATCATTTAATTACTGACGATCTTTATTTTTATCTATGTAAAACTGATTCACGCACACCACAACTCTATGGCATTCCTAAACCACACAAACAGGACTGCCCCCTACGACCTATACTGTCCACTTATGATTCATTCAACTACAATCTCGGCAAATACATAGCATGGGCTCTCACACCATATGTGACATCTGCAGGTTCATTTTTTAAAGATGCCTTCAATTTCAAAGATACACTAGAACAACTTTATTTTATATGCAACTTAAAAAAGCCTTTATATAAGGTATAAGAATATATTTGGTGAAAATATTCACCATACTGTGGCTTAATTCTCCTTGGAAATCCTTCTTCTAAATAACAAGCAGATAAAGGAAGCCAGATCAACACAGATATTCGCCGTAACCATTGCCGACTACACGTTTCACTCGGTCGCTAAAGAACAAGATATGAAATGCAGTGTTAAAAAACGTAATAGGCCTAACACTAATGTTTAATGAAAAGTAAATTATATAATCATGCTTCACCAGCTTAGGAAACACATTCACACCGTAACAACCGTTGTCGTAACAAGTGGCTTATATAAATAGTATTCCGACCACTTCTGCGTTTGTTGTTATCCGAGCCAGCCCTGAAGATCTCTGCATTAAGCGAAACGCACCATCAGCAATGGATATGACGAATATAGTGTGGTTGGAATACTGTTATTATTCTAATTCTTTCCCACTTATTTCACAGTTAACTAACCTTCTTTTTGTTCTCCTTGTCCTTTAGTGAAAATCAGATGAAAGAATTCATCTGGAAAGCCATCTGGAATGAGTTTATTCACGAAAGGGCTGAAAACATGGGAATTAAAATATTTAAATATATTTCTCATCTATATCTTACAACAGTACCATTCTTATAAGACACTCCGTGACTCTATAAAAGTTTATTTCTTTCGACTTTTTTTTTTTAACAAACTCCATAAAGCACTATTCAAACAGAACTACACATTACCGTTACACATCACATGATACGCTTTATTGTTAACATTATGAAATGAAAGTTATATTTAATATTTAAAATCTTAAGTTACTGATACACTAAGCTATGCCCTCATTCTTCATTAAATAATAAAATTGTTTATTAAGACAAAAAGCAATGACACGGTGAAATATAGTAAAGCCATCTTATGGAAAAGGATAAGTGTGTATAATGCAAAAGATGGCTTACCATAAACCCTTAGTGGATATTTTGTTATTAATGAACGTAATTAATTTTTCTCAGATTAGATTTAAGTACATCAACTGCATCGAAAACCAATATTCTTAAAATACAATTACCGCAACTGATAAAACATAATATTTTATATCACCATAGCTACAGTTAAAATTCTGATATTAGAGTTAAAATAAAGATATAGTTAAAACTTTATTAAGAAATTATTTACCTTAGAATGTGAGCGAGTGCTAGAACTCCCAAGAAAAAGAAGTAAGCAGTAAGAACCAAATTAACATATTCCTTTGAAAAAATCTGTAAACAACAAAATTAGAAGTTGAATTTTCTTTATTCTATCATTTCACTCACACCATTTAAGCTATGCTTTCTTGCAGCCACTGTGTGTTAGATCGTTAAATCCAGAAAAAACAAAATCAAGTAGACATATATTTATTTAATAAAACTACGGGCAAAGTAAACTCAACAATAAAGTATAGTAATGGTATTTATAATAGTGTACAGAATACGAAACAGTTATGAACGTTCTGTGTATGAAGAAACTCACAAAAATGTGTTTATAGCAGTGTATGAAACGAAGCGTAGCCAAATTATTGTAAAATAAATTAAATGTGAAGTTGTAATGTCTAGTTAAATATGAAGAAACATTTGAATACGTGTTCACAAAGTCGTAAGCATATAGTTTTGAATGAACTACACGTGTGTATTTTAGACTTAAGTCAGTCAAGAAAACCCATAGAACTTGTACTTAGTGTAAAGTTCATTTTCTTTAGGAATATACACGTGGATTAAATGTTGGATAAAATACTTTGGAAATAAAAAACTAAAGTTGAAACCGAAGCCTGCAGGCGGCATCATAACTTCAGGGTCTGAAATTCCAAAATTTTAACACATCACCATTATCCTTTGATGATCATTTACAGTTTCTTATAGCATAGAAGAAACATATTTATTTATGTTAGAGACATATTCATCTGTTAAAAATATGGATACACAAGCTTTGTCAATAGAGACAAAAATAATTTGATTCAAATCGTTTTATACAGGAACATTTTTGTAGTAATTTAAACTTGTTACATCAAAACCAAATCTTAATATTAAGACCAATAAGGAGACACATGAGTTAAATCAAAGGCAATTTTTTTCCTTTTAAAAACTCTCAGATTCTTGCTTGGAAAAAATAAAATAAAAATTTACAACACCTCATAGAAATTGTATCACTTGCAGTTTTTTTAGTAAGCCTTCTAAAAAATGGTATGTATTAAAATTGATATAAATAAACATACACACACACACACACATATATATATAAAATTATAAAAACCCTATAATCCGAGCACTTCTGAAAGGTGGACTTTTCGAAAGTGCCCAGGTTATAGGGTTTTTGTCATTTTGTTTCAAGACTTATTGAACCTACGTGTTTTTCTGACACCATGAACATAAATAAACATATATATAAATACATTTACAGAATCAAGTTGGAAATCCAGTTAAAATTTCTTACTTTGAAGAATATATAAATTCCCAAGAGGGCACAGCTTGCAATCAGTGGAAACATTGCAGCATCTTTGTGGGTCATAGTGTCTGGTTTTTCTCCAGATTCCTAAAAAAAAAAGGTTTATCCAACTTTAAAGTTTAACATAAACAGATATTAAGGTAGATAAAAGATCGGATCTGTTTGGATTTCTTTTTTGTGTAATAATAAAAAGAATAATACTTATTTATAATAATAATACTTATAAATTTGCTGATAAAGGATGCCCAAATGCTTATCTCGTGGATTTTAGACTTCTAAGTCTCACATTACCTTACACACAAAAAGTAAAATGCACTTTTCAAGCATAAAAAAATAAATTTTTTTTGTTTCACGTCGTAGGGAAAATAATTTCAAGCAAACTAAACTGCATGCTTTCAGTCACCTAAAACACAACAGGTAATAGTTTCAACTTTGATATTCAAAGTTGTGTATAACTGTTCCTTCAAAATTCAAATCTATATTTATGTGGGCTGAGGCTACATAAGTGAAGAGCATAGATGAAGTCAAATGAAAACAATTACACAACTGTTGTTTCTAAAGACAATCTATAATTTTGACTATATACACGATTGTTTTGGAATTTTACTTATTACTAGTTTAAAGTTACCTAGTTGAACTACATAGTTAGATACACACTTTCAACAGTGTGTACATTAATCGTGAAAACTACAGAACCATATCGGTCTGTGGTTCTCAAACTGATGGTGACATGAGAAGCATCAGGAAAAAGTTTAATCTTTTCTTTTTTTAAAGCTCAGTTTATCATTATCACCATTTGTTGTGTATATATATATATATATATATATATATATCATGGTTTAAATTAGTTGAACTTTGGGGGGAGGAGGATAACGTGTTTTACAGAGAAGAAAAGGAAAGACTTGACCTAAAAAGTGTGAGAAACACCAATTTATGTAGTCAACCGTAAACAATAAAGGGCAACTGTTAAAGCAATTTACAGTTTTGACTCTATACGTGACTGTTGTGAAACATTATTAGTTACATCTCGGTGAGCTACTTACTAACCAATCCTACCCTAATGTGACAACGGTGAGATAGAAAATATAGTATGCCAACCTCCACCAATCATGGTTAGTTGTGCAAAGATAAACAACATTTAATAATTCTATGCCATTACTCGTGTAGAGAAAATTCCTACAGAATGTTCAATTAATTTTAAAAGAGTTGGATTTCATGCCCAACCTTGGAATCTATTATACCACCAAGCTCATAAAACATGTGTTGTGAAATATGAATACTAATAAACACATGAACAATTACAGTTTTCCTACGCACATAGACATCAATGTCTCATGTATATAGCCTTTTAAACCCTAGGTGCATGACAGACGTGTATATAGTCACTACCATTCACTTGCTCTTTTGTTTAACTTTAAGATAATTTCAAGAGAAAAAAAGGGAGCTTATTTTATTACCTTGTATGCAGCATTTAAGTATAAATCATAAACAGTATTTATTACTTCAACAGAACAAACAACACCTACAATGTTTTAGTACACATAATAGTAATACAGTGTTATATAGAAGCATAAATACAGGGGAAAATATTAACTTATTCTATCAAAAATGTCACTATCAATATCATTATTAACTACTATTACTAATATTTATAGTATACTTTATCTGTAGTACTTATAGCTATGCCTCATGTTCTGATAGTGATAAATCAGATAGGGCTCATTTAACTACAATAATAAGACTAAGAAGTAATACTAACAATAATAATAACATTTACTAAAAGAAAAGTAAACGTACAATATTACTGACAGTGATAATGTGACATGATACAGTTCAGTTTAGTCTACCTTCTGTGCCTTATGGTGCTTTACTGATCGGAAAGAACCAAAAAAAATCGGCAAAACTGCCATCAGGATAAGACTAGTATATGCAAATGTCATCCCTTCTGATGTTGCTTTCCATTTTGCCGTTTCGTTTTGTCCAGTTTCGTTTAAAATAGCATTTATTTCTGCCAACGTCTGGTTTATATCCAGATCTGCCATAGCGATGATAGTGTTACTCCAAACCCAAATGACTCGTCAGCGGTTAGTTTTGATGCAACGTGTGTTTGAGAGAGTGCCATCTGATGTTTGAAAAAGTTATTTACTCACAAATCTTTTGAAAATGTTTATATTTTTGTAACTCCCCCCTCTTCTATATACAGGTAATATTACCATCAAAATCAGACTAACATAAACAAAAATAATTTCTTTATATTTTGCTTATATACGCATAATTTAAGAACAAAAATGGATTTGTTGGTCAAGCTAGGCTGTTCCATCCACTATACTAAACTCTAATATAAAGCACTCAAAACCAGCCCTTATCATTCAGATTTTTTTTAAGCCTTAAGTTAAACTCCTTTAAACTGACTCCACCTACTACCTCTGAAGGCAACCTATTCCAAAGGCCAAACACCCTGTTAGAAAAATATAGCTGTCTGAGCTGAAGGTGACTCCTATTCTGTTAAAAATTATATTTGTGTCCCCCTAGTCTTAACATTTTCAGCATTAAAAGTTGGGCAACACAATTAGAATCAAAAGAGAAAACAGAAAAACACTCAAACAAACAAACAAAAAATACTACAAGAAAAATAGCAAAGTCTACTCACATTTTTGAGACGTGAGTTCATCAACCCTCAATTCTGTTGCTGCTTCGTTAGCTCGTATGACATGTATTATTTCCTTTATTCTTGTATATACCTATTTACTAATATGGTTTTGCAGAAATGGCGAAAAGTTAGTCACGAGTGAGAAGTCCATTTCTGATAAAACTCTGCTTCCAAATGTTGAGCTGATTACGCTAGCTTCTCTTAAACTCGAATAATTCTGCGACAGCTATGTCACTGCGATCAATCTGTAGTGCAGCAATTGGAGATTGGCTGAATATACCGACTGGATTCTTCGGATTAATTTTCTCAATTTTTACGAATGGTTTCCAGTTGTTGTCCATAAATTACAGTTAGATATATATTATAAACCTGTTTATACATATTATTTAGTGGTACTTTCGAATGAAAGTGAAGAATGGTGTATACCAATATGTCAACCACACTATATCTGCTACATCTTGTGCCAACGAAGACTTTCGTTTGATATTGGAGCTCCTAAGACCGGCTGTATACGATATTCACAATATTTCATTCGCTTTTTTTAGGGAAAATTTGCAAATTGTTAAGGCGTATGCCTGTTTTTCAAATAAACCATCGTAAATTAAATTATATAGAGATTAGTGTAAAATAAGCAGACTTTAGTGTGTTTTTATAATGATAATTAGGTCTAAGAAAGAACTTATAGAACAAGTTTTACTCGTTACAAGTAACATTTTTGTGTACCACAAACGGTATAAATAATCGTTTATCTATTACCCCTTTTACAGCATAAATCTTTTGAAATATTAATTAAATTTGAAAGTTAAAATTTCTTTCTACTTTTATCAACCAGGCAGAATGTTTGAAAGAAGTTCTAGTTTGTGAGATCAACACATATTATGCGAAGCACAATCAGCATGCTAATGCTATGGTGGTCCAGGGCATGCGACTATTTCAAGCTAAAAATGCTGATACTTCATCCGAGGAATGTAGACTGTATAGAAAACATTAAATTTCATAGACAGCTGCGCTATAACTATATAAGCATAACTGTTTTACACCACAAAAATACATTATACATTAAGAACGACTGAAATAATAATTTGAGTAATAATTAATATGTATTTGTTACTTTATAGATTTAATAGATATTTGTTGTTACTTTATTAACGTTTTTACGCTTATACTGTGAGGTAAAAACGGTTGCTGCTATGATTTTGTTTGGTTTATGAGCTCGTTGCTGTCCTAATTTAGGATATTCTTTTTAATAAATTCTTGAAAATGTTAAAAAAAAGAGAGAGAGAGAAAAGGGGCCAGGCGCGGGTGTTTGCCCCGGGGCCCGTGCTGGCTCTCGACATTCCTGTTTGGCTTTCACTAACCTTAACCGACTTTCCTGAGACGGAGAACGTCAGATTTACCATAGCAACCAATCCTGTATTCGCGAGTGGTCGTTTTCGTTTAACATTGGGGAGGCTGTAAACTAGTTATATCATCTGTCTTACCAGTGAAAGACACTGTTGCTCTCTATTTTTATTGAGTGTATACTCATAACACCGTATACATTATTAGTGGGCGTAAAATTACAAAATTATGCTATATGATAACACCAAGAAAGTGCAATGCCCTTCTACTGTATTTGTACTTGTAGAATAGGTTCTTCAACCGTTTTTGTTTCGTTTGTCAGAAATCAGGGATGATTTTCTGTTTCCAAATTACGACCAACTTCGTACTTCATTCCCACAAGTCGTGTCGTGTAGATATTGTGATGTTTACTGCGCATGTGCAGTATTGGTACAAGTTGTTTTAAGTCGCGTGTGAAATAGTACGATCACGTTACTTTAATTAAGTCAAGAGTAAATGGTTCACGTGCTTTATATTTCGTGTTTACTTACGAAAACGTGGACACGTCTGTTGGGTAAGTTTATATTTCTGATAGGAATGTGTTTGTAGACATAAATATAATATTTCTATAAATATTCAAGGAAATTGTCTTTGCATTGAGTAGAGGGCGCATGACAGAAATTAGTTACTGTTTAGTTTTAACTTTAAAAGTTTAAGTGAAGTAATACTAAAGATTAGTCATATTTGTTAAGTTTTAGTAATTTATAAATTATAGTAATAATAATAATAGTATTAAATAGATTTAGTGTATCTCATTAACTTTCTTAAAATAAATATTAATAACTTCATTGTCCAAATATGATAGATAATAGGGTATGGTGCATTGGTAGTTGTACTGATACATGATGATGAAGCTTTACACATGAAAATTTTGTTATAATGTCAAGTGTTTTATGGATAAAGACCGAAAACACAATTAATGGAAAGGATGCTCATCTGGTGACTTAAGATACAGGTGTCATAAAGATTTTTTGTCTGTCACTCATAGTCATAATTAAGACCAGTTATTAGCAATTGCAAACTTTTTAAGTTTTATTAAATAATTTTAGTTGCTGTTCTGGTAGCAGTTATTGTATAACAGAATTTAAGTTAAATTATAATAAGTTTATTGTTGTTTTTACGTGTGTTCTGTTCTGTTTTTATAATAGAAAATATTAAAATTATTACTTAAATTGAGTGTTCTGTGGGAAATATTGGAATTGACCTGAATCATGTAGATATGACTTGGTGGAAAGTAGAAACACTGAAATGTGGACTTGGTGGGCTTAGATTTTTAAAAGCTTTTGATAAAGTCTCGCATATAAGACTAGCTAAAAAAAAACACATTGGTAGGGGTTTGTAAACGACTAGTGAATTAGATTGTAGGGTGGCTTTATGAAAATGTTGTTAATGGAGTCCAGTCAGATGAGGCTCTTGTACTAATGGAGTATGTGTCGGGTGTCAGAGCTGGGACATTTGATAATTTTATTTGTATTAATGATACTGATAGTAGCACAATTATTAAATTAGTAGTTTGCTGATCTCATTAAAATCTTGAGTATTTCCAGCTGAAATGAGAATGTTGAGGTATTACAGAATAACTTGGATCAATTTTTAAACTGAAAAATACTTTGGATCACATGTTTAACATAGATGATAACCTACTCAATGTGATGACTGAAGAAAAGGATCTTGGCATAGTGGTGGATAAGTCACTCAAACCATTGAATTGGTGTTCTGTTGCTGATAGTAAAGCTAATATAATTTTAGGATGTGTTTATAAATATATTGCTCATATTTCAATATAGGTAATTCTCTTTATATAAATTAAAGTATAGGCCTCACTTGGAATACTGTGTGAAGTTTTGTCTCCTTATGTAAGAAAAGGGTTTATAGGACTGACAACGAGGAACTATTAGGTCCTCCATACCTGTCCTTACACACCCACCCTTGAGAAAAGTAGAAATTGAAACTCATCCTGTAATTTCAGGAAATTTTCATTTCCCTTCTTAAACTCCTGTAAAATAACAGTTCTGGCCTCCACTACTATTGATGACAACTCACTCCATAAGTCAATCACCCTGTTACAAAACTTAAAGCTGTTTTAACTGGAGCCAGGCCTGTCTTTTACTAATTTCAAACTTGTGTCCTCTTGTTCTGTTATCTTTAGAATACACAACGAAATCGGAAGCCTGTATCATATTTATCCTGTGAATAACCTTGTAAACTTCAATAAGATCACCTCTTAACTACCTCTTCTCAAGAGAAAATAAACAGAGATCTTAACACAAGATTACACTCATCCCAGCCGTATATTATGACGTGTATATGGTGGAACGATTATTTATTTGAATCGGATGGCATGACCAGGCAACATTGGAGGAAAGTTGTTCACTGTGTCACGAGTGAATGCAGTTTATCAGGCATGACCAGGCAACATTGGAGGAAAGTTGTTCACTGTGTCACGAGTGAATGCAGTTTATCAGGCATGACCAGGCAACATTGGAGGAAAGTTGTTCACTGTGTCACGAGTGAATGCAGTTTATCAGGCATGACCAGGCAACATTGGAGGAAAGTTGTTCACTGTGTCACGAGTGAATGCAGTTTATTTTGGAATTTTCATCTGCAGTAAAATGACATCCAAGACAAATATTTTTTTTTAGTAAAATGTCGAACCCTCAGTTTTGACCCTCCCCTATCATGCAACCACAAAAATGGATGATTTTCAACTGCAGTATTTTTTTTTTTACCCCGTTATTGTCTTCGAAGAAGTTAAGTAAAACTCGCTTATTTCTATCCAGGTTTGGTTGAAAACTATTCTTCAGTCGTAACAAGTTTCATTTGAATAATTTCTAGATACACAACACTGGTTCTTCCATTAAAACTAAAAGTAAGAAACTTCTTCATCATCTTCTAGTTTAATGTGGAAACTTGAGCTTCTTCTGAAATTATTGGTTAAAAATGTCTACACGGGTCTTGTTGGATAATTTTAATGTTTTTACCCAAATAATACTATTTTAGTGGATTTGATTGTTGTGTAATGGAAATACTTGTACATTCATGTTTACATATTGTATCA